GTGATGTACCGCTTTGCTCGAACCAGCTGAAGTTTGATCTTCATCAGTCCGTGAGCTTTAGGATTCTGCCCAGACCGCTGAGGTTGGGTCCAGGCTTTGGGTGTGTACTTGAAACGTCCTTTGAGACACTTCCAATGCATGCATCTAGATCCGTCCTTCCATTCCCACCAAGTAGTATCAGCGAGACAACTTAGAGCATCCCAAGCCGCTTCTGCTTCCTTTTGATCCTCCTCATAATTCTGTCTCCACCACGCTTCATATAAAGTGCGACCATTCTCAGTCCAAATATATCTTTGGTGTTTTAGAGCAGACTCGCCATTCTCTCCCGTATGTACGTCCCACCGTACCAAACCTTCTTTTGGGTTCTTTGCTGGACCTCTGCGTTTCCAGTCAAAGTACCCCTTTGTGGTCTTTCTCTTATACCACTTCAACATCCAATTGCGAAACGAATTTAGAGCTCGGTCTTCCATCCAACGTGTCACAATAGCTAACGCTGGATGTACTGTTGGCAACTCTGAAGATCTCAGCGTACGAATGACTTCTTTGTTCCACTTGGAAAAATCCACCTTTGCATCATCGCTCTTAGTGGCCTTAACATCCACTTCTTCCTCCGAGTCCCAATCTTCCGCCCCTTCCAACTCAGCTCGCGTCTCACCGATCAGAATGCGGATATCCGTTTATGCTTCAGCTTTTTCGATTCCTTTCTCAAGGATGTTTCATTCAAGCTTCGCGTAATTTTGGCAATCCCACGCTTTACCGAGACTCCAGTTGGGGGTTCCTTTTCGGCACGTCCGAAGGTGAGTAACTTCTTGGAAATCCGCCCATCCCTATCAGTTACACCGATCCCTGATAGCAGATGGCGTAATCCATGTTCCAGACACCGCCCAGGTCTTAATGACTTCCACAGCCGGTTCATATCTTCCCCTGCCTCTTGAGCTAACTTCACTATTCTCACTGGCGCATCCTTTACTGTCCATTCTTCCACCGTTGTCAACCTTCGCCTTACCCATCCATTAACCAAGACCGATCTCAATATGAAAAACGGCTTTACTCCTGGCTTTCCATCCAATGGGTACAAGCCTCCCCCATGGTAAGTGTTGGGAGCCATCCGTTGGACTCTCGATTTTCCCATCAACATCGAAACCTTTGGCCCTGATACCTTAGTACCCATATCAACTGTGTCACTGGCCACAGAATAAACCGTGGTGAGAAGAGTCTGCAATGGGGGCAGTTGAATCCATTTTCGATCGATTGAGCTGTAGGCCTGTAAGTGCACAGAAGCTGTGGTCAGTCCTCCCAACTCATTGTGCGTCATCTTGATCCTCTTAGACCACTTGGACCTCAAAAAGCTACCATCCATTGTAGACACGATCAAGTTCGCTTGATCCCAGGCCGCCAACCAGCTAGGGGGTTTGTGCTCACATAGAATAACATTTACTGTGGATAACCGGTTCCGATTAGTCGTCATAACTACTTCCGGCAATTCTGATTTTAAGCAAGTAGGAAGCCAGTCTTCCTTCTGCGCCCAAACCCAACTAACTGTCATTCCAAGGGTCTTCACCACCCACGCCCATTCTCCGACTCCTCGTACTATCAGGCCAGCCGTGGGACGATCACCCAAGGTCTGCAATGATGGCACCACTCCAGACAATTCCATATCCACCTCCCCTTGATCGTGATCTCTTTCCTTATGCCCTGTACCATCCTCTCAAGCGCCCCTGTCCTTCTTCTTGGCCAGCTTAGCATTGAACGTGGTCATTTCCCTCTGAAACTGAGAAAGCTGTGCCTTCATAGAGTCCAAGTTCTTGGGGGTCAATCTGTGACGAAACAGATGACTCAACGAATATCCAGAGAGCTTTGGATGTCCCGTGAATTTCAAATCAATAAAGGAATTCATTAGCTGATGGCACCGCAGGACAGCCCACATCATTCTTGCTGCATCATCAAGGGTAAGTTGGCCGAGTTTCGATCTCATTGCATCCACACTTCGAACGCGATGAAGCTCCATGAACACACCCTTGATAACTTCACACGGATACACCCAAGCCTCAGCCTCGTCGTCACTCTGCTGCATGCAAATACCTCTTTGGTTAGTGAGAAATGTCGAGATAGCCATCCAGTGTTGCTTGGAGTCGAGCACCAGAGTGGTAAACACTAGCACAGCTTCAGGGTGCGGTTTTAACTGAGCTCGGATCCATTCAGTGGTTTGATTCACCTCGTGGTCCACCCCTCTGGTTATCTCATACCGAAGTCCTCGCATTCCATCCTGTTCGTCCCACTTAGCAAATGTACTGATGGCCGGTAACGGGTGATTTCCTTTCCCAGCAAGAGGGATTGGGATGGGCCTTTGGATTGACGAGTACAGTTTGGCGGCCATGATGTTATCAAACCCCGCTTTTGTTGCATATTCGTCCCTCCTCAGGACATCTGTTGGCAGCAATTCTCCCCCCTCAGTTGTCACGCCGTCCACAATTGAGACAACATCTGTACCAAAGAGACCACTGGACTCGGAGTCAAATACCATCTTGGTATTTAGAAAATGTCGACAATCCGCCACTCCTCCGAAAGCGAATCCCGCCACGTTAACCTTCTCGTTGTCTTTTTGTTCCAAATGAGAGACCCGTTCTTTCAGCTGTTGAAGCATAGCTGTTGAAGGGGCTGGGGACAACTCTGGCTGAGGTGCTGCGTCAGCAGTTAGTCTGGCCACTTCTTCCCTCAATGATGCGTTAGCCATCTCCAGTCGTTCAAGCCTGGCCACAACTGCGTCGAGCTGATTCACAGAACCGCCAATGGCTAGGCCTCTTCTATCCACAGAGCCTGTGCTGCTTAAAGAGCTCAACAGGTTGGTGCCCGCAGAGCGGGAGTTGACTTGGGTCTCCAGAGACTGAACTCGTTGACCAAGAGTTTTTCTAGGATCCTCATAGTAATCCTCCTTCATTTCAAGAATGTCAGGTAGCACGTTCTCACATAGAGAAGCCATAGATACCTCAAGTGATTTCTTGACCTCCTGGATCTCTTGCTGGCCTAAGATCAGGACCCGCTGTATTGACGATCCCACCGACGATCAAGGTCCTCAAGTCCGTGATCCCATGGACTTCCTTCTCTGCATGGAAGACCCCGTGGAGATTCTCGAGGGCACTCTCCACATCGACATCCACGCCAAACATGTTCGTGACGTAGATGATGGCCTTTCTGTGATCGGTTACCTCGACGATTGGAACGAGAGTCAGGCCCAGCTCCAGACCGCTCTCCAGACCATCGAGACCATTACTGACAAGAAGAATAGTTTGAACCGGGACCTACAGTCTGTTCGTGACGAATTCTACCACTCAATTTGGGGGCTGCTCGACTTCTGCCTTCAACGAAGTATCTCACAGAGTTCGGTCCAGTGGCGACGATAGCTTGGGGTGATGGGCTTGGATACGCCTTCAGGGCCGAACACGAGGCATTGGCCAGCGCGACTTGGTGGTGATCTCTGCCTACCGTCCAAACCCACCTAACGACGGGCATCAAACAGTGTGGTTCCAACATAAGGCCCACTTCAGCCGCACCAACCGCGATGCAGAACCCAGGGA